AGGTCAGCAGTTCGATGCCACCAGCTTGCCCCAAGGGAGAAAGATGAGGCTTTCTACTCCTGTAACGGGTGGCAGTCTTGGAAACCTACAAGGTGGTTCTATTGTCGTAGAGAGTGGCTGTGTGTCAGAATCAATTAGATGTATGTGAGTTTCTAGGCCAAGTAGTGAGCGATTGTGGAGCTGAAATGTGGGCTTAGCTCAAGCTCCTTTTCAAAAGCCCTATCCTATACTGACTAAATCTGGCTTTCTCTGGAAGCAAATATGAGGATGAGGGAGTGAAATAGGAAAGGAGGGAAAGGTAATTGAGTGGTACTGAACCCCACAGGTACCCTTGAGAGGGGCAAAAGGTAGCACCGACTCATTGACTAGTTAGCCATTGGTCAGCTAACCAACACACTCCCTGCACTGTGGGCTGAGCACGCCGAGTGCAAAGGTGGTTCCTTCTGGTATCCCACCCTGGGCCATGCAGGCGGAAGCAAGCGATCCAGGGCCACAGGAGGGCCTGCCCATTGCACCTGTGAAAATCTGGCCCAAATCTGTACAGAACCGGCTAGCACAGCAGCCACAAGAGCTAAGAAGACTGAAGTAGTGTACAAGAGCTGTGCAAATCAGAAATAGTAACCGGGGTCTTAAAGGTATCTCTCAAAACAAGCAGTCATCTAAGTGAGGTGTCAGCTAAGTCCACATGAAAGGAGTATACCAGTCTGCATGATTCAAGGATTATAAATAATAAAACCCAAGGTCAGAGAAGGGAATTGTATTAGAGCTTAAATTCTGGGCACCTGGTTTGCAGGATTTGAATGACAGTGAAGGTCCAAAATCCATTTAGAATCACCATATGGATTAAGCCTCCATTAAACTCCCTCAGACCCTTGACTTGGGATGTGAATAGACTTGCCCTCACACAGAGAGCACTGGAAAGTGGATTGCTGCATATCTAGTTAGGTTCGAATTGAACATAGCATCGAGAAGCTACTGCCTCTGCCGCAGGAGAGCCATGGGTCAGGCGGCCTAGGTTTCACAGCTCTTCAAAACATTGCGCAGGACCAGCCATGCTTTTAAAAATGATGTCAGAGCACTGGCAGCAGCCAGAAAAAAGATAAATGAAGAATTCAAAAATAATAAAAGTGAGACATCGCCTAAGAAAATAGCAGAGTATCGGTTCCTAGAAAAGACCTTCTTGTAGAAAATGTGCCTACTGTGATCCGCCAACTCAGAACAGTGACTCTCCTAGGAAGGGGGCAAGCAGTGTGCTGTGTAATTTAGAAAGATAGAACGCTGGAAAAAGTTTAAAAAAAAAATTGAACATAGTGTCTATTTGTTTTCCCTTTTGACTAATTTTTAATCTGTTCTAGTTTCTATTATCTTCTTCTTTCTTTTGGATTGATGTTTTTGTTTTTTTTTGTTGTTATTGTTGGGGTTTCTAAAATGTTTTGCTTTATATGAAATCCAGGATAGGTAATCCATAGAGATAGTAACTGGATTAATAGTTCCTTAGAGTTATGACAAGGAAGGTTGGGGGAGAAATGGGACACTAATAATAAAGGTTACAAGAATGAAATATTCTAAAATTGTGGTGATAGTTGCACAACTTTAAATTAAAAAATTTTTTAATAAATCTTTTTTTGGGGGCTCTTACAGCTCTCATCACAATCCAGATATTCATCCATGATGTCAAGCACATTTGTCCATTTGTTGCCATCATTTTCAAAACATTTTCTTTCTACTTGAGCCCTTGATATCAGCTCCTCATTCCACCCCCCTTCCCTCATGAACCCCTCATAATTTATAATTTTTTCCCCCCATGTCTCACACTGACCACTGTCTCCCTTCACCCACTTTTCTGTTGTCCATGCCTCTAGGAAGGGGTTATATGTAGATCATTGTGACTGGTTCCCCCTTTCTCCTCCCACCTTCCCCTTCTGGTATTACAGTTCTTATAACCATCCATACATCCACTATGTCAAGCACATTTGTCCATATGTTGCCATCATCCTTTACAAAACATTATCTTTCTACTTGAGCCTTTGGTATCAGCTCATTTTCCCCCTCTCCTGAACCCTTGATAAATTATAAATTATTTTCATATCTTACAGTTTGACGTCTCCCTTCACCCATGTTTCTGTTGTTTGTCAACCTGGATGTGGGCGGTGGGGAGAGGGTTATACATTGATCATTGCGATTGGTTCCCCCTTTATCCCTCCACCTTCCCCTTACCCACATGGTATTGCTATTCCCATTATTGTTCCTGAAGGGTTTATCTGTGGGTCCCCTTAGGGTCCTGGAGTCCGTGTGTCAAGAGCTCTCATCTGTACCAGTGTACATGCTCTGGTCTAGCCAGATTTGTAAAGTAGAACTGGGGTCATGATAGTGGGGGGCCGCAAGCATTAATGAACTAGAGGAATGTTGTGTTTTAGTCAGTGCTATACTGCACCCTGGCCTGCCCATTTCTTCCTTGTCACCCTTCTGTGAGGGGATGTCCAATAGTCTACAGATAGGCTTTGGGTCTCCACTCTGCCCCACCTCCTTTGCATCAATGATTGTTTGGGGTCTTCTGATGCCTAATGCCAAATCCTGTTGACACCTCGTGATCACACAGACTGGTGTGCTTCTTCCATGTGGGCTTTGTTGCTTCCTAGGTAGGTGGCCGCTTGTTTATCTTCAAGCCTTTAATACCCCAAATTTTATATCATTTAATATATCTTGTCTTCAGCAATGCTGTTGGAAAGGTGAGCATCACATAATGCCAGGTTATTAGAACAAAGTGTTCTTACACTGAGGGAGTACTTGAGTAGAGGCCCCATGTCCATTGACCGCATAACTTTTAAAATATGTTTACACCATTGGATTGTGTAGTATGTGAATTATATGCCAGTAATTTTTTTAAGGGTGTGCAGAACTTGGGAGATGGGAACATGGGAGATAAAGGAATCAATCAGTGGGTGTTGAAAAGTACTGTCACCAAGATAATTTTCCAGACTTTCACTTTAATGGGAAGATGAAGCACTTGCATCTGTATATTTTAAGTGTACTCAGTGCAAGAAGGTGTCTAATGTATAAAGGATTCTCATCCCAGCTCCTTTTTAAGGTCTAGCTTTATGGGAAGGTTCAGGCTCACCTAAATGTCCTGAAATATGTCAACTAGATGATTATGGGAAAGCTCCTTTCTTAATCCACAGACTAGGAAGTGTTGTCATTATACAGGTGACTTGGTATCTTACCTTTCATCAGACAGGTTAGTCCTAGAAATGATTCTGCAACAGTTTCAGCTTTGCCAGATCATCTTCAGAAGGAAGCTACTTGTTGCCTTGGGGCTGTGTGTGTGTAACTTTATCTTTTGAACTCATAAATTTAGATAGTTTAGATATTGGGATGTAACATCATCCCCTCAGGGATCATATAAGACTTTTCTTGGTGGGCAAAGTTAGCCAGCTAAGGAAGTTATCTAAACTCATTTGAAACAGATTACCTATCACATTTCAGTAAAATATAATAGTATTTCATGGATACCAAGATCATTTGTATTCTTAAGACATTTAGGCTAAGTCAAGGTAGGGTAGTTCAATTAAAAAAAAAATCCGCCATGTTAAATTCTAGATGTGGCCCTTGGGCAAGTGAAGCTCTCCCAGGCGCCATCCTGTCATCCATAAAATGAAGCCAGCAGTTGTTTACAAAGTTACTGCTAGGATTAAATGCCATTTTGTATGTGAAAGGATATTGCTAGGATTAAATGCCATTTTGTATGTAAAAGGATCAAGCCTAGACATACACATGGGTTTTATTTGACTTTAATAAATTGGTTCAAAGCGATTAAGAGATTCATAGAGAGCTGGTGGCAAAAATTCAGATTTTGAACCCAGGGAGACCTTGTGGCAGGGCTGGGCTGATTGTTTGCTCCAGCGAGTCTACCCTTTATCTCTCCACAGAGGCTGTAGGTGATTAGAAAAGACAGACTCTCATTAGCTAGGAGCTCATGTCCACGGCTTTCCTATTTCATCTGGATGTCTGGCACCAAGGAGGAATTGCTGTCCTGGGTGCTATATTTTATGTAATAAACACGTTAAGAGAAATGACAAGTTGTAACTTCCCTTGGTGGAAATTTGTGCACAGGGCTTTACCACCTATCACACTTCCTAGTTCTACTTAGAAGGCTTACCATTTACTTGACAGTATACACGTCTAGTCTCCGCCTCCTCCGTAATTATTCTGCCTATGATGTCACTGCAAAGAAGCCACACTGCTCACCAGCATCTTCATTTATCCCAGTGGTTCTCAACCTTCCTGATGCGTGGCCCTTTCACATAGTTCCTCAGGTTGTGGTCACCCCGACCATAAAATTATTTTTGTTGCTACTTCATAGCTGTCATTTTGCTACTGTGTAATGAATCCGGTGACCCCTGTGAAAGGGCCGTTCAATCCCCAAAGGGGTCGAGACCCACAGGTCGAGAACCACTGACTTAGCCGTTCACACTTATATCTATAGTATATTGTTTCAAATGTATCTTCACACTTCACCTAATTCTCAACCAACTCCTCTTAACTAGTCTTCCCTGCAGTTCACAGTGAGGGCACCAAGGGTCATAGCAATGAAATCACTTCCAAGGTCTGCAAGCCAGTGGAATGAAACCAGAAAACAAAAGCAGGTTCTGGATTCAGGCTCGGATCCGATGTACAGTGCCCCCTCCCATCCAAGATCATTGTATCCAGTAACAAGGGGTAGCGGTGAAATTAATTTGCCTTTTGTTGAGATTACAAGCAATATTTTAAAAGGAAATAATATATTTTTCACAGCTTGCATGACTACAATATTGCACTGGTGTAATACTGGGTACTTACAAATTGTAAGGAGACGGTGGGTCAGGACGAAATGAAGGAAAATAAATGACTCTTACTCTTCTGATGTCTTTCAAGATGAACATCTCAATCATCAAGCAAAAGCAACCACAAGCAAGACGCTTTCTCCAATATAAATATATGTACATATAGACAGAGTCAAGGGATCAGGATTCAGGTTTGCCAATTTTATTGAACCAATAAAATTCCTACTAATAACAATGAAATAAATTTCTGCAAGTATAAATGTGATACAGTTTAACAAAACCCATTGTTCTGTACCTATAAATAGATTTTCAAAATGTCATAAAAAGTGCAGTATGAATTGTTAACATGTTAATACAGTTCCTTTATTTCCAATGTGTTTTGTCTTGATTCACTAACAGTTCCTTCTGCATCTGTTCAAATAATATTACCCATCCCTAAAAAAAAAAAAAAGCATTAAAGTCCTAGAATAGTACACAAAAACTGATCCATTCAGGTCAGCTTTAGTCAGAATCGTGACATCAGCAACATAAGAAAAACAAAACCTACTTATACCAAAAAAACCCCAAAACTGCTGACTCACAGGGAGGGTGTAAAGTGGAGAAGGCTTAGGTGGTTAACTACCTCACACTACATCTACAGCAGAGTCTGGTTTGCCAGAACAAAGTTTAAAGTGGCTGTTGATCAAGTTTGCTATTTTCAGAATTGAAACTACAAATACAAGACCACCGGTTGACACGGGAGCTTGTGTGAACCCTAAATTGCATCAATGATCTAGTGATAAAAGCTTATTCTAATTTAAAATCTTATATAGTAAGAGACTGATACATATAGCAGTCTTAAAAGATCACGTCATCCGCCTCACATCAGTCCAAAGTCACGTGCTTTGTGAAAAAGTTCAACAACAAAAAAGTTACAGTAACAAAGCACAGGACTGCCAAGGCAAAACATCACAGCTTCTGATTACATTGAATAAAGAGTACCAAGGAACACAAAAGATAATTCTGTATTAATACTGATGAATTAAAGAACTATAATAGACGTTTCACAGCATGCTACATATATCGCTCACAACGTAAGGATAAAATGACGTCTAAAACTGAAAGTCAAGAGTTGGCAATCTGATTTTGTGTGCAATTCAGCTACAGACTCTTAATATATACATTCATTATGTAGCTGCCCTGCAAAAATCAGGGTTTCAAAAAAAGATTTCAAGTTCGAATCCTATTTCATTAGCTAAAGGATACATCCAGTTCTTCCATGACCAGGAAAGCTATTTTCCGGTTTGAAGGACCTAATCTGAGCAAGGGCATGCTCCCAGTTGACTGGCCAGACCGCTTGCTTGCCTTGCCTTCCTCAGGCTGCATGTGGACGCGCCTATTCTACTAGCATTGAGAAGATGCCAAACTAGGATATGGTTTGTTTTCTGTGTCTGTCTTGTTTCAGGGTGAAAAGCGTAGAGGTGAAAAGAAAGAGGATGATGAAACTGACATCTTTGCAGAAAAGAGAGATGGATGCAAAGGAAAAGATTTGCGCTAGAATGTTTCGGATCACTGTCCTTGCTGGACAAGGGTACCGTTTAACTCTGAACTTAGGGTTCAGAGAACCAGTGAAATTTGGAAAGGAGAGAAACAGTCTCTCAACATTATAAAGGAAGGAAACTTCTACATCCAACCAACCGACAGGTTTGCTTTATCCCACCACGTGACCTGGCCTTATCGGAGACAGGCGTCTGATTAAGTAGCGCTATATACTCACTGTCCTTCAGTATGTATCACAATGCATGTACTTAACTGATCAGGGCTCAGGACTAATGGTGAAGGATTAAAGACCAGTGTTCTCACACTCGCTTTAGCTCTCTCCTTTCTGTAGAAATTATACATTCATTTTTAAGAGGCTCAATGGAGGAGGCAATAAAATAAGACGACTTTAGGAAAATTTACAGACCAAACAATTCTATTTTTCATCATCAGACCGACCAGTGTTCACTGTTGTCCTACGAGCTGTCACAGGGGCACTTGTTCTAAAGATGACCGTTGAGGGTGCGGGGTCTTCTGGCAGAGATGTCCCTACATTCGGAGGAGACTCACTGCTTACTGTTTCCTCTCCCCACCCTCAACGTTTGTTCTCTTTCGTTTCTCTACTTTATGGTGGGACTGTCATAACTAGGCTAAGACTAGAATGAATGCTTCTTGGCGTAATGTACTAAAGACTGCCTTACCTCCGTGATGAAGGCTCATCTCTAATAGGCCATCACCTCCCTCCCAGCCCTCCAAGGCATCTGACACGCTGACTCTGGCTCTGCTGTCAGGCTGGGTTGGCCACGAATGAAAATGGAGACGTCCAAACAAACGCGACTGCAGCTCACACTACGCTACACTTTCAAACAGGGCTGTGATTTATCGTCAGGGCCAACAGCCACCTGCAGATAAACCCTCCCCGTGGTAGGAAACCGACTGAGAAGCTCTTTGCCATCTATGAACATTTAGTGCACATTGGCTGGGGAAGACAGGCTGGCCTTTCTCCCTTCCCAGCTCCATAGCCACTCTGTCTGGCTGCATCTACAGTACACGCGGCCTCCCAGGGGGCTAAGCGTACAGAGGCGATGCACACTCCCCTTTCATGCCAGAGTACTTGCTTTTCCCTCCCCAAGGGAATGGGGGAAATCAGGGTTAGAGTCCCAGTCTAACATGGGAAAGCCTGATCTAACCCCATGCATCTAATTTTGTGGTATTTTATCCTTCCTGTAGGTCAAATGGGCTTCTGTGTTCTGGTTGGGATGGGGGTGGGGGTGGGGGCAGCTAAACACTACTTTTCATACGGGTCCTTGTCTTAAAATGTGTGTCGAGGTCCCAGCTTTAATAAAGCTGTCTGAAACAGCATTCATTTGGATAACAGGAATTGCCGGTTCCATGGAAGGGCTATAGATAGATCAATCTGGATTGCCAGGGAATTATAACTTTACATTCAGATAACTTGGGTTAACATCAATATTCATAACCTAATATAGATCGAAGTTAGAATGGCAATTCACTCACTTTAAAATCTGGTTAAGTGCTAAATTCTGCATGGTAGAAATAGTTCAATTTCTCAATCACATATAAATATAAAGATTTCTACTTTGATAGAAGGCAAAAATCTTTTTTAATGATTTCTTTAAAATATGGAAGTAGTATGAGTGAACGAGAGAGAGTAAATCCATGAAAAGATTGGATACTCAACATTTACAGGCTCTTTGGGATGAGGTAGAGGATAACAAAGATATTTTGGCAGCTGGGAACAGAGTACAATGGTATGTGATGGACAAGAACGACACTGGTGCTGAGTTAACATCTGTTGTCTGGGCTAAGGGGTGGCCAAAAGAAATGTGGTGGGGGAGGGGCTCATAGGGGACCATGATGAAGCCATATTCTTAATGGATGGAGAAAAACTACCTCAGACACACGAATGCTGGTGACTATCAGCAGGTGGCTGGTGATGTTTGGTTTGGACTCTGAAAGGCATACAGACCAGGATTGGCTAAGGGAGGGGGAGGCGAGAGGATATGTAGAGGTTGAGGCACTTGGGAGGAAGAGAAAGCAGGCTAGAGAGGGTGGGCTGGATGCAGGTTAGGAGCTCCCACGTCTGAGCAGGTATGAGGACAGCCACCCTCTCAGAATGATGCCCCATGGGTTCTTTGAGAACTTTTCTTCCCTACAGGGCTCTGCCTCCATCTATACCTCTACTTCTATATCCGTTTCACCCCAGGCGATTTCTGTTCCAGGTCTCACCTGGGCAGAACCCTGCAAAGGATGGCAGACTCGCATTGAATTTCGCCCCACTGAGCCGTGGGCATTTCAGCTCTGTTGACGGAGATAAATACATTCATGTTACAGTACTGCTTTGAAGAATGATGACTTAATTTGATTCTTCAGTCTTCAGAGGGGTAAAACAGAGAAACGGTTTATGCAGACAACCACCTAGATTAAGTTCTTATTGTACAAATCACCTAAATTAAAATTCAATTTGAACAGAGGAGCCACATGTCTTTCAATTTGCTGTTGAACTACATGTTATTAAGAACATTTCATATCCTATTTATGTAACATAAATTGCCTATTGCATACTTCTTGATCCAGGCAAGACCACTGGTTTGCATAAAAGAAGAAAAAGTCCTCTTCCAGAATAAAGAGAAGGGTTTAAGGTCTTGCTCTCAACAGACAGTATGTAGAGTTGTTTTAAAACACAGCTAAGTACAAAATGAGACCTCAGTTTACTGTCGCAGTGCATTTCTGTAACATGCACTGAACCACTTTCCACTGACTAATTGCCCTTAGAACTTAAAAGACTCATACCATCACATATGAATGCATTTGGAACAAAAATGGAACTATTTGTAGATGTCCTTGTTTGCTGATAACTTTATTTTCTTGTGGATAAAATCCTAAGCCAGTATCCCCCCTGTACCCCAATCTCCAAACTCTATAAAGACAAGGAAGCAGCGGCGGCTGTGGATGATTAAACTCACTAGGCAATACCCTAAGACAATGAAAGCAGGGTCTGGTTCAAGTGTGATTCGATGTGGAGCTCAGGGTGAGCCTTCTATTCTGCCACAGCCCCATGGTGCTCTTCCCTTGGTTTAGAGCCGTGAGGAAGGGCAAGCCCATGTCCCGATTCCATGCCCGCTTGCGGTCACCTCGTCCATTCCAACTCACGGAGACCCTGCAGTCAGAGTAGAACTTCCCCTTTGGGTTTTCGAGGTCAGAATCTACCTTAGTTTCTTTTATTTTAAAATTTCCCAAATGGGACAAAGAGTCTTCCTGAGACTGGGAAAATATTCTTCATTCTAACAGGTGAAGAAGGTAGTAAGAAGTCCTGCCTCGGGCTTCCTTCATCGCGAAGAGTCTCCCTGCGGACACCTAATGTGAAGGGTCCAGTGAGCCATGTGCCGGGCCAAATTCTCACTTGAGTGATCAGGCTAAGGAGCAGATTTACTTTTGGATGGGAGACGGCTCCGCTAGTTCTTAAGGTGATCTGCGAAATCAAGAATTACAATTGAAGCCGGAGAACGTGTTCTTCCAGCAAGAACCAGTACCCAGACATCACTCCAGGACAGACATCAGTGGATTACTACACAACCTGTCACGTGATAAGCAACGAAGATAAAGGAGTCACATTCACACGTGCTACTGAATGTGACACTTGCACATTTAAGTTTGGCACAATGTGAGCCCACGGTGAAGGTTAGCGTGTCGTATAATCTTACCGTCACACGAATTGAACCAGACAACTCGTTTAAAAAATAGCACATTTGAATATAAAAGGCTATACTATAAATGACTACATATTAATTCAATACTCTTGAAAAACACCACCCTGGGAAACCGCATTAGAACTTCAAGTTTGCATCAGAGAGAGGGGTTGAACAGCAAACTCGCTGCGAAATGGTATTCAAAACCTGGCATGCTGTGCACGCTGCGTCTTAGGGTGCTTTTGCACCAGCAGACATCGATTTTTCTAGGCAGGTTCAGAGATTCACAAATACAATTGTTTTTGTGTCTAGTTCCAAGTCAATTTAAGTTTCCTGATTCTTGACGAGACCAATGCTGAGCTCGAAAGAAATGCAGCTAGGAAAGAGATCTAGTGAAGGCACTAAACAGTTCCAGAACCCACATCCCAGCCAGTTCTATTCTGGAGGAGGAATGGAAAAAAAAGAAAAAGGAAAGGAAAGAAAAACAACACATGCACAGCACAAGCTAGGTGGCCTTTTCGTTACTGAAACCTTGTTTCCCGTTTTGGTAAAGAGCTCATATGGTGTTCTATGAGCACTGCTCCTCCTTTTCCAAAGTATGTCAAAGTCATTTTTCAGCCTGTCATCCCGTTCACCTGCACAAAAATACATCCAACTACTCACTGAAAGAAATCTAGTTTAAAAGCAAATGTCAAAAATAAAGATAACCTCAACTTGGAAGTCCTGACGTTAGGAAATCAAATGGACATTTACGTTGCTGTCTAAGTTTTTTGCCTTTCTCCTAAATACTTTCTTTGTACTTGATTCATTACCAGTATAACGTGATATTGGACTACATCAATAGAGAGTATGTGCAATGGAAAAAAACCCAGAAGAGATCTGGCATAAGTTCTTTAAATAATCTCTTGAAATAAACTACCCTGTCCCTCAAAAAATATTAGTGATCCCCCCCCCCCTCACATGAAGATTTCAAATAAGATCCTGGAATTGAAAACAATGCAGAAATACCTTACAGTAATAGATGTATAATCAATCATCTTTCTTTTTCCTTATCTGGAACAAGATCTGAAAGGAAGCACCCTAATGTGTTCTACCAGAAAGGAATGACCAAAATGACTGAACAAAACGAATCCACGTTTCTTTTAAGAGAGTAAACGAGTCTTAAGTAACAACCAAGTCTGAATGAAATCATTGCGGGTCTCCAATGGAAAATCTTAGCTACCGGTATACTGTTTACTGTGTGGGGTCGTTTTAAATATTAGCATGCACGTGTAAAGTCAAGTCACCCTCGATTAGCTTCCGTGTCCCAGCAGTGCAGTCTTGTGTCTTACTGGGTCCTTGTAAGCGTCTCTTTAGGCACTTCACTGTTTCATGAACAAAATATAAATTAAAGCTATAAACACATTGTGTTGTGCTCTCTGAGAATAGTCTAATCAAGCAATAGAAACCAATGCAAAAATGTGACTTTTTGGCCACTTTTTCTTCTTCCCCTATGACTTTTTAACCAGCTGTCTAAAGAGATTTTTCTGGGCAAGGGGCTGCTTTGGCATTATGAAAATAAAATGTTGTTTAAACCCAGGCAGGAAGTTAGAAATGAAAAATAAAGAAGGGGGAGGAAACACAAAACAATATCTTTGTGCAATAAAGAAATTTTGTTCAAATTTGAACAAAATTTCTTTATGGCTAAATTCAGAAAGACTTCTGCAGTGGCAAAGCCAGGGGAGAAGAATTATGCATTTCTCTCCACGTATTGCACTCTTTGCATTGTTGTTGCTCTGCTGTTCCACCCACCGATGCATAGAAACACAATGTCTCCCTTTGAATAATAAACGGTTTAATTGACTATAAGCAGGAAATTATGGTATGTCATTTCTAAAAGCCTAACAGGAAAAATATAGGCATTTTAACCTTCCTTTGCTTAAAATGTAGAAAGAAAAAGAATAAAGGAGGAGAAGAAAGAAAGGAAAAAAAACAGCTAGGAGAAAGAAAAAATGTGCAAGGAAACTTTTTGGTCTGTCTTGTGTGGGCGCAGTCTGACAAGGACCAGCCGGGTGAGCTGTGAGCAGGACTGCGTGTGCTTATGGGTAACAGAGGGGGGCTGAGGGTTACGTCAGTGCAGGGAGGATTGTGCACAACTCCACTTCTAATATGTGCATCTGATATGGAACGCTGACACTTGTTTCAGAAGAGAAAGAAAATAGCTAATTTGGCATTTCAGTAGCATGCTACAGAATCATCATGATTAATTTCACATTAAAGTATGGACAATGGCTGTATCACATTTCACGTTATTGTCGACAGAAGTCAAAACCAAACAAAATGAAAGGAAAACAAAAGGAAAACAGTGCCTGACAAATAAATCTCCTGGGGACACAGATGTGTCTGTTGAGCAGCTTGGTCCAACAGCGCATGCCTCTCCTCTACCAGATTTAGGACACAGCATTACCACTTTACCGTGGCCAGGGGGCCCATTCGGAGTTAAATTCCAACATCTGAAAGTCGAACAGATTGTAAGCGCATTCTTTTTTTTCCTTTCCTGTTTGTTTTTTGCTTTTTAACTTAAAAACAAAAAACAGAAACACAAGCAAAAACCCAAAGTGAAGAAGGGATAAAAAGAGAAGTACACAAACACACAGACCCAACAACGCTGAAGTTAAGCATTAACAAACCAGGTTCATGATTTATGGTCAGTCTACACTCCCACTAGACACGATGCAAAGCAGTGCTCCTCAGTACTGTTTCTGCAGTTGTTAGTAATGTTAAGCATCAAGAAAAAATAAACAACAAAAAAACACATCATTGCACATTACGGCCGCAAACAAAACCGGCTAAACTTTGACACTAGAGCATTGGATAATTTTTGATGCTACATCACAAACAGCTTCTGATGCCTCTCGGATGTGAAACGGTCTCGCAGAGCATACGACATCGACGGCTCGGTCCCTGGGGACCCTCAGGTCAGATGCCGGGTGATGGCCCGAAGAGCGTACAGAAGCTCCGCTTGCATCCGTGCCTCCATTAGCAGTAAGTTTACGTGGACCTGGAAACAGAAATGTCGTCCACTTAGTAAGCGGTAATCCTGCGTGCACACAGATAGATGTGCAGACACACGGGCTTGGGCTTAGTTATGCGTGTACTTATGCAGCACTCACAAGGGATCTGTCATCAGTTAAAAAAAAAAATCTTGGTGAGCAGTAAAGACAACGATCAAGCCTAAAAACCCCAATACTTTTGTTAGAATATACTTTGTAGGGAAAGCCCAACTACATTTTCAGCTGTGAGATAAGATTAATGTTTGTAAATGATAATTTTCCTATAAATTATACTTTCCCCCACTAGCTATAAAATTTCATGTGGCTAGAAATCAGTCCTACACTTTTTACAATCTATGTTTATGACCTCAAAAAGCTTTTTTAAAAGTTTGTATTATTTATCTGAAAGATACCAAAATCAAACCAAACTGCTATCAAATTTCAGACTCACAGCAACCATATGAGGCAGGGGAGAGCCATCCTTTACGGTTTTTGAGACTTTACATCCTTACAAAAGCAGGCAGCCTCATCTTTCTCCAGGGGAACTACTGGTGGGTTTGAACCACTGACTCTGTGGTTAGCAGCTCAATGCACAGCCACCACACCACCAAGGGCTCCGGACTGGAAAGATACTCAGGTAAGAGTTGGAAGCCTGAGGAAGCATCTAATCTGTTACATATGTGCAGGTTTTCCAGAACCGATTAGAGAAAGTCATGGGCATGTACTTCTCAGCTGATAAGTTAAAATGAACATCCATGTTTTAAACTTTTATTATGAAGACTAGGCTATGATAATATAGTTAAATTTTTAATCTTTTTATAAAGGTTAGTAAGTGTTGGATGTATTTTCCTGACAAATGAGAGCCATTTCTAGATAGTACATTTCAAAATCTAGTGCAAGCACATGTAGGAGCATGCAGGCCCACCAGGGAAGGGTGCCGGAGACCCAGACGGTATCCCCTGATGTGTGAGTGACGGGGAGATTTCGACACATCTGTTAGCTGTATTGAAGCCAAGATCACCCCGTTCCTCAGGAAATGCCAAACTCTGCTGACAAGGACTTGATTCTGACTCACATGGACCTGGTGGGACAGAGTAGAACTGACCCAAAGGGTTTCCAAGGCTATAATCCT